TGTTTCCAGGGCAGCAACAGCAACATCATTGTCAATTTTTTTATAAATAAGCATTTCTTTGTAGAATTCCAGGTCATTAAATGGAGCATCGACTGTGCTTGTGCACATAAGCCATATTTTCACATAAAATAGTAAAGTAAATTTACAAAACCTTGACAATTTCTCTATAAAACTTTCTTCATACTCTGCCAGGTCAGCAAAAGCAAACATCTTTGATGTGTACAAGATTGTACACATCCATCTAGCATGATGGAAGGCTCCAGGTTTGTGCCACTGTATATTTATTTGTTTTGGATTGAGTAATTGCAAAGCAAGTTGACAACATTCTCGATAATCATCTCTTAATATTTTTCGAGATTTCCGGTTAAGTAAACCAGACAAAAAAATTATTACTTCTGCTTTTTTGGTCTTTAATACTGGTTCTTCGATCTTTATTTTTCTAAAAGTAGTATCTGAAGTTAATGAAAGCTTAGGCCATACCTCATTTTTAAAGTGTCTAAATGGCTCATAATTTGGAGATCTGCATTCTCCAAAAACTTTGAAGTAAACAGATGACAAAACTCTTTCAAAAATATGGTGTCGGCAGGCGCACCAAAGTAACTTTTTGTTAAAGTGTTCTTCAATTAACTTTGCAGAACCATTTATCCAACCTGAATTTGATGGAGTTGTGTCAAAAATCATTGCCACAAGTGTTTTTTCCAGTTTCCATGTCTTTACAGCATCTATGGTAGCTGTTGCCTGACTTCGCCCAGTTGTATCAGGAATCCTGGATACACACAACAATTTCCCTTCAGGTGCACTTGGTTTTCCTGTTACAACAATAGCCAAACGTTCCACTTTACCATCGACCTCAGATACCAGCTTTGAATCCCAGTGAATGGAAGAGTACATGGGTGAAATGAATGTTTTCTTAAGATCATTTGAAACTTGCTGTCGAATTTTATTACCTGATCTGTACGCTGTGCTTTTTGAGATAGATATTTCATCTAAATTGTGACCTAATGCTTCAGCTACAGCTAAAATGATTCCAGATCTTTCTCTGTTGGATAGATTCAACCTATCAGCCATTAAGGAAACTTTAGGGTTTTCTAATATCTTGATTTTTTTTTTCTGTCTAGCAATAGTACTTTCTTCATTTTTATTATGAGTTTTGCCTTCATTATCAAATGCTGCCAATACATTGAAGCTTTTTTCTTTTATGTTTTCTTTTCTAGATTTCTCTTTTTCAATAGCCTTGATTTTATTTTTCTCTTTTTCCTCCATTCTTTTCACTTTCATAGCATAACTCTTGTCTAATGGGCCCAAAAATTGCTTTTTTAAGTGACGTTGATCTGAGAGAAAGTCTATATCTGAGATCTGACTATTGATACTACGCAAGGTATCTTTTCTTATCAAATTTTCGGCATTTGATGCTGCAATATCAAACAATAATGATAGTTTATTAGTAAAACTCAGAAGTTGAGCTGCATAACATTTTTTTTTTGCATTTTTAATCAAGTTCTCTCTAAGATGAATCAGATGTAGTATCATTCTGACAATATCTTTCTTCTGTTTTATTGGAATTCCTGCCATTTTCCAAAAAACATAAACTTTTTCCCAAACTACAGATGCAACTTCTTTTTTACCAGTTAATTTCAATTCAAATCTTGTAAGATAAAGATAATGGCGTACAACATCTCCATTTGTTGGTAGCTGACTATACATCTTTGCTTCAAGGGTAGGTAATAATTTACCAACAATATTATCAAACTTCTCATCATTTTTCCTCAATTTACAATTGCTCATAACTGATCAAATATTTTTTATATATGCTATTATATCTATAGATAAAAAAGTAGCTATAAATTATAAAATTATTTGAATAATGTATGTAACATTAATATTCATCATAAAAAATTTTCTCATCTCAAGCATTGAATAATAATATTTAATAATTTTTGAGAATCGTTGAATTGAAACAAATTATATTTACTAATATTAGCTATGATACATAGTTTAGAATTATAATAGTGATCAATATTGATACAAAACATATTTAATACATTTATATATTTAGCCTAAAATCAGTTTAAAAGTGAATAATTTTGAAAAAGTGGGCGGCAGAGGGGGTAAAAACTTTAAAAGAAGGGCGGGGGGGTCAAACTTCAAAATTTTTCAAAAATCTTCTTATTTTCACTTTTAACGGACAAAACTACACACAAAACTAAAGGAAAAAAAAAATTTTTTTTTTTTGGGACACCCTAATATATATATATATATAATATCTACTTAGATTTATATCTTATACTGCTGAGTTAGGTGAGCATGATGATGTCATACTCACCTAACGTCAAATGGCCTGCTGCCGGGGGCAGTACATACATCGACTGACAAATAGCCTGACTCGCAGTGGAGTGCTGCTACATCGACTGAGGGTTTGGTATGGGTCAGCAACCTTTTCATTCATTATTCTTCGTTTTCCCTCATTGTTTTCTAAAAACGCTCATTTAATTTAGGCTAGCAAAAAAAGTGAGCAATTGCGCATATAAATATGCTATAGTAGATAATAAATCTAAGTAGATATTATATATATATATATATATATATATATATATATATATATATATATATATATATATATATATATATATATATATATATAAAATTTTGTTGGTAAATATACTATATACTATATTTGTTATAGCGCTAGGTCTTCCTCGATTTAAAGCCATCTAAAAAATTTAATTTTTAAAAGATTTAAAAATTAAACTAAAATTCGGTACTAAAAAAATACTTAAAAAATAAAATTATTTTTGTTTATCTTAGAGAAAAAAAAATCAATAAAGTTAAATTAGTTGCGCATCACTAAAATTAATGTAATTAAAATTACTTTTAATAAAACTCCATCGCAGATTTTATAAGCAAAAAAAAATAAAATTATTTTACGCCGCTATTCTGCAACATTACCAAAATAGTTTAGAATCTATACTAACAATATTACTTCATTTTCAAGAGTTTGTTTAATGAACTTTATTCTAAAATCGCATTATGTTAATAAGTTTGTGTGCACGGTCACGCTTGATTTACGCTCTATTTTTGTGTCAATAAGTTAAACAATGAATTTTACAGAGTTTCCAAACTATTAACTATGGTTAAACAAACTATGTTAAAACGATTTTTTGTTTCCTCTAACAAGTTTAAAAGTTTTTCAAAATTGTTATTAAGACTTCGAATGTTTACGTGTAGTATCTTCGACCATATAAACTAATAGACATACCTTACCGTAAGTTAACATTTACAAACTTTTGAAGCCAACATCTTTTAGCGCGTGACGTCACGTTTGGGCATTTAACAATTTATAATATGGGTTTAAGGCGAAAATAACTTGATGTAACACTTTTCAAGTTTTAATATTTCTTAAGTGTATTATTTTGTTGAAATTTTAGTTTTCAAATAGAATATAGGTGTATAAAGATCATGGTTTTATCTTGTTCTGCATATAATTGCACTCAAAGATATACTAAAGGGGTTTCTTTTCATGGGTACGTAGCTACAGGGCCGGATTAGGAAATTTTTAGGCCTGGGGCTGTAAGTATAGGAGGACCTAATGTGGCGGTAAGGTAAAAATGCCGAGCGTTAGCGAGGCTAAACCCGGGGGTCAGTGGGCCGGAGGCCCCCAGCCGGGGGGTTTGGGGGCCCCAGACCCCCCAAGTAGGAGGGTCAGGGGGGAAGCTGCCCCCCAGAAAATTTTTTTTAAGTCTTGCTAATAAAAGGACACAATCTAGGTATGTTTTAGAGCATTTTTTTAATAATTTTTTACCAACTGGTTAAGTACAGCTACACCCCTTTGGCCCAGACACCCATATATATGTAAACTGACAAAAGGTGACTTAAGAAAGCAACTGCTGAGCTGTAGGTATATTTACTATTGAGACAGTGAAGTACGTGTATCAAATTGATAATGTGTTCACCTCCAATAAAGGAAGAAAATACCAATAATATTGGTATTTAAATGAAAAAATTCAGGTCGTGTTTCTGGCTTTTGAGACATATCTTGACACATGATATCCAGTGTAGACTTCACTTGCGTATAGCCAACCTGGAGGGAGTGTACAGCATCATAATGTGCTGACCATCTGGTATCAGATAACCTTTTTAAGGTAGGCATATTAAGTGGCTTTAAAACTGCTATCAAACGATTCCAACGAGAGGTGGAGGCAGAAAAAAATACAAACAGCTTATTTACAAAGTCAAAAAACGTTACAGCCTCAGAACAACATCCTACAGCACATTGACCAACAAGGTTAAGCGAATGAGCACAACATGGTGTGTATTTAGCTAAGTTATTATGTTCTTTTATTTTTGCTTGCATGCCATTGAAACGGCCACTCATGTTGGCAGCATTATCGTAGGATTGACCTCGGCAGTCTTTAATTGAAATGCCAGTATTTTCCATAAAATCAAGTAACTTTGTTGCTAATTCTTCCCCAGTGTGCTCTTCTATAGGGATAAATGTCAGAAAAAGTTTAACTGGTTCTTTAGAAGTCATGTAACGGAATATAATGGTAAGCTGATCTACATGTGAAATATCTGGTGTTGAGTCAACACTAACTGCAAAGTATTTTGCTTCTTTAATTTCAGTTAAAATGTGGTCCAAAACGTCACGACTTAACACATGAACAAATTCATCACATATAGTTGATGACAGATATGACACATGACCTCGGCCTTTGTTCGCTCTTTTCTGAATATGTTCTGCAAGCAATGGGTCAAACTCAGCCACTAGCTCTAAGCAACCTAAATAATTGCCATTGTGGACAGAACCCACAATTTCGTTACTGCCACGGAATGACAACCCACGCGATGCTAACATTTTGATTACGGTAAAAATACGCAACAGTATGTCATTCCAGTACTTTTTCTCTGATTCAAATTGCTCTGTGAGCCTCTTACTAATGTGCTCTCCAGCTTTCCTACGTGTTAAAAGGGTTTCAATTGATTGAATGAGGGTTTCACTTGTTTCATGACGAGCTAAGTCTCTTGCAATCATCATATCCTGATGACATCAAAGCAGATGCTCCAATTCCACATTTTGAATTAAATAATTTACAATGGGCGCAGAAAACCTTACCAGTTGATGGGGAATAGCAAATCCAGTCTCTCTTAATTTTCTCACCATTCACTTTTTCCCGGAAAAAAAGGGACTTTGTACACTGTCGTTTAAACTTAAAAGTGTCACCAGGCAGTACTTTAGTAGATAATTTAAAATCGCTATCCATATGTTGGCATGATAAAAACCCATCTGCACTTTTGCTGAAATACTCACGCAGGTCGTCGGTTATAATCCACTTAGCCACATCGGTGTTGACAGTGTGGGTCGTCAGAGCCAGGGGTAACACTGCTGAGATAACTGAGACGCTTGAACTTGCTGTAGCTGAGTCTGTTGAGACACTATTAGAATTACCTGGAACTGGTGCTGACATAGTTAGTGAGTTTGAACTCGCTGAACTACCTGGAACTGGTGCTGACATAAATGAGTTTGAACTCGCTATAGCTGAGTCTGCTGAGACACTATTAGAATTACCTGGAACTGGTGCTGACATAGTTAGTGAGTTTGAACTCGCTGAACTACCTGGAACTGGTGCTGACATAAATGATTTTGAACTCGCTATAGCTGAGTCTGCTGAGACACTATTAGAATTACCTGGAACTGGTGCTGACATAAATGAGTTTGAACTCGCTGAACTATCTGGAACTGGTGCTGACATAAATGAGTTTGAACTCGCTGAACTATCAGTGGCGGATTATCAAATTATGGGCCTATAGGCTTAACTAATTCATGGGCCCTATATACCTATATTTTTCTAAAAAATACGTCAAAAAGTACAATTTTGATTTTATTTATAATAATAATATCTATAATAAAATCTAATTTTATTTCAAAATTACAAACAAATTATCAGGTATATTAGATACTAGTATATATTTTATAAATGGCTGACCCAAAGAAAAAAATAACACGATCAAAAATTCATTTTTCTGCATTTTCGTTCAACAAAGTCTGATAAAATTTCATTGAAGTCACAGCTTCTTAGGATGTCAGATTCAGTGCACATAACAGTAAGGGAATTCAGTTTGTCATCACCCAAAGCACTTCGCAGATAGTTTTTTATCCGTTTCAATGCAGAGAATGATCTTTCATCACTGCAGTTGGTGATCACCAAACTGAGGTATATGTGAAGTGCTGTGGCAACATTTGGAAATATATCTTGTAGTGCACTGATGTTTCTCAAAGCCCGATACATATACAGCTCTATGCTACATTTCAGTTCTTTCTCATTCTGTTGCAAGTACGTATCAGCTAACAAATATTCTTTGAAGTGAAGTATTTCATCTTCAAATGACTCTTCCAAATCATCTACATAAGTATCTATCAAGTTTCTACTGGCTCTTCGCAAATCAGACTGTTCCAGTGATTGAATGTTTCTCAGAAAACCAAACTTATCACATACACCACTGTATGCCTCTGATCGTTTACATAATGCTGAATTCAAGTGATCAAGTACTGGCAAGAAAACTATGACTCGAAATTTCAGCTGTGCCGAAAACACTGTTTCATCAGCTGATCCATCATGACGGGTTAATTGAACACTTCGCTTTCGTTTCCTCTGATTCTCTTCTTTATAAGAAGTTGACCCTGTTATTTCCTTTCCTTTCTTCTCAAAAAAATCAAACTGTGCTCGAAGTGAATTTACATATTCTTTTAGTGAAGTTAACAGTTGAACAGCCTCATTTAGATCAAGTTGTGGACTTTGCAGTTTTAAACTGGTCTTATGAAAGCGATCTAATATGGGTGTCCAGAGTTCTAATAAAATTCCATATTCTAACTGATCCATCTTCTTTGCAATTCCTGCAGCTGTAGTGCGAGCTTCAACCTTCTCCTCGGGGTCCTCAGCAATGTTCTCTAACACTGTCTTAACATTTTTAAAGCCTTTGCTCAATGCTTTAGTTGCTGCAGAATGTGCTGACCATCGAGTATCAGAAAGGCGTTTTAGAACTAACTGGTTACTATCCAATCCTTTGGTTAGAGGCTTCCACCGTTGGGTTGATGCATTTAAAAGACATACAAGTTTTGTACAAAATCAAAAAATCCACTCACTGTTGTCACGCAGTTTACAGCTGATGCACCGACTAAATTAAGGGAGTGTGCAAAACATGGCACATATTCAGCCAATGGGTTCTTCTCTCGACTGCGTCCCTGTAACCCTGAATATTTTCCTGCCATATTGCTAGCATCATCGTAGGACTGACCTCGGCAATATTTTATATCCAACTTTGCTTCTTCCAGAAAGCTGTATAAACTGTTAAACAAATCTTCTGCTCCATGTCCTTTCATGCTTAAAAATTGCACAAACCTTTCTATTGGGCCATCGTTCAAAACATATCGAAAGACACATGACAGCCTATCAACATGAGATATGTCTGGAGTAGAGTCAACAGAAATCGAATAAAATTTTGCTCCACGTATTTCAGACAATATTGTTTTCATAACTTGCTTTCCCATGACATCAATTAACTCATCACAAATTGTTGATGACAGGTATGAAACAGAGCCTTTCCCCATACCACCATGGTTGTCAATATGACTGGAGAGGAATGGATCAAACTGAGCAATCAACTCCAAAATTCCCAAAAAATTGCCATTAGAACTTGACCCCAATATTTCAGTATGTCCTCTAAATGCGAGCCCTCTTTCAGCAAGGAATTTGATAACTGAGACAACTTTTTCTAGCACAGATTTTGCATATGCACATTCCTGTCTGTATTGCTCAACTATTGCTGAATCTACACATCCTCTGACTTGTACTCTTTGGCTGAATGTGATTGTTGCATTTCTATGTGCAATGCTGTTTTCATGTGACTGTATTCGTGAAGCTGCATTTTTCCAATCACAAAAACCATTCCTTGAGAATTATCATCAGCAGAAAATAATTTACATACAAAGCAGTAAATGCGAGATGTTGCTGGTGAATAACACAACCATGATCTTGGGACTTTCTCACCATTGCGAGAATGAACACGATAAAAGAGATTCTGTGAGCAGTAGCGCTTCTGTTTTCCATCAATTTGCATTGAAATAGTGAAGTCAGCATTTGAATGTTGACAACATTCACTGCCACGAGTTACCCAAAAGTTATAGAATGTATCATTGATTTCCACTTCAGACCATTGCCCAATGTCAGTGGAAAAGGAATTGTCATCACCTTTGGAACCAGCTTGTGCTTCTGGTTTCTGAGAAAGTGTCTCCGCGTCTACCATATCATCAGATTCAGAGTGGTGATAGATTGAGTGCATACAGCTGCAACACTGTTATCACGTTCAAATTCATGACCAAATTGACCAGACAAACCACACTGACCAACACATGGTAAAGGTGAATTCGATGGTGGGTCTTCTCTATTGACATTGACACTAATCGTAGGAAAAAGCTCAGTTATTTTAACAGTTTTTGAAATGACCGCTTCCTCACGTTTCTTTTTAGCTTCACGGTCTTTAGCTTTTTGATACCCAGACTTGTGATGATATGCCATTATGACCTGAAATCGAAAAACATACAATGTAGATACTGCATTATTATATATATATATATATATATATATATATATATATATATATATATATATATATATATATATATATATATGTATATATATATATATATATATATATATATATATATATATATATAAATATATATATATATATATATATATATATATATATATATATATATATATATAACGGTATAACTAAAATATTACGGTATAATAGGCTCAACATTTAAGTGGATTCAAAGCTATTTGTCTAACAGAAAGCAATTTGTATTACTATAAAAGTCAGGAGCCCTCGACATTACGTCTGGAGTTCCTCAGGGTTCAATCCTAGGTCCATTATTGTTCTTAATTTATATTAACGATATGCATAAAGCATCCCAAAAAATATCTACAATTATGTATGCTGTCAGTAGTGTCAATTTGTTCAAGAATACCATTCTCAGCATAACTGGGCTACAAAATTGATTTTTTAGTTTAAAAATAACATTTGGTTCTGATAAAGCAAAATTTTGACTAAGACAGAGTAAAAACAAACATTTGGGCAGCATAACTGGGCTACAAAATTGATTTTTTAGTTTAAAAATAACATTTGGTTCTGATAAAGCAAATTTTTGACTAAGACAAAGTAATCAACAAACATTTGGGCAGCATAACTGGGCTACAAAATTGATTTTTTAGTTTAAAAATAACATTTGGATCTGATAAAGCAAATTTTTGACTAAGACAAAGTAATCAACAAACATTTGGGCAGCATAACTGGGCTACAAAATTGATTTTTTAGTTTAAAAATAACATTTGGTTCTGATACATTCATTTATCCATGATACATACCTATATCGATATTTGCTGTAAAAAAAATTTGAATTCTTTATAATGAATTCATTATAAAGAAATTCATTATAAAAAAAAAATTCATTTATAACTAAAAATGAAACTATATCTCTATTGATTTATTTATTCACAACGCCTCCGCAGCTCCCAATAAATTGATTTAAAAAAACTGAGAAACATAGGAATATTTATCTGGTTCCCTAAAAAAAAAAAAAAAAAAAAAGTAAAAAAAAAAAAAAAAGTCACGGGCCTTAGAGCCTATTTTTTTTATAAGGGCCTGGGGCTGCAGCCCCATCCGCCCTCGCCTCAATACGGCCCTGCGTAGCGTTGCTAAGATCCTACGTTATATTTTGAATTTTAATAGTATATTAATTTAATATACCTATTTGATATTTTTTTTTGTTGGTAGTTTTCCAAAAGATCTAGAATTGAGGAGAAAATGGATACAAGTTATGCGGAGGGATGGTTTTACTCCTAGTAAACAGTCTAAACTTTGTGGTAAACATTTCACAATTGATTGTTATGAAGGAAGTCCTTGGAGTTCACAAAAGAAACTAAAAAGTGATGCAATTCCTTCTATATTTGATTTACCAACACGTTTAAAAAAAAGTACTTATTCTAGAAAACCACCAAAAAACAGACAAAGTATTATTTCAAATAATATCACCAATGATTCAATACAGTAAGTCTAATGTAACTAATCCTTTTGCAATGGCATATATTGATTTAAAATTATTAAGTTTACTTTTTGTAACATAATACCTATATATTTTTAGGAACAATAACGTTGACAATTATATTATTAATGTTAACAATAATATCACCAATGATTCAATACAGTAAGTCTAATGTAACTAATCCTTTTGCAATGGCATATATTGATTTAAAATTATTAAGTTTACTTTTTGTAACATAATACCTATATATTTTTAGGAACAATAACGTTGACAATTATATTATTAATGTTAACAATAATATCACCAATGATTCAATACAGTAAGTCTAATGTAACTAATCCTTTTGCAATGGCATATATTGATTTAAAATTATTAAGTTTACTTTTTGTAAAATAATACCTATATACTTTTAGGAACAATAACGTTGACAATTGTATTATTAATGTTAACAATATTATCACCAATGATTCAATACAGTAAGTCTAATGTAACTAATCCTTTTACAATGGCATATATTGATTTAAAATTATTAAGTTTACTTTTTGTAACATAATACCTATATATTTTTAGGAACAATAACATCGACAATTATATCATTGATGTTAACAATAATATCACTAATGATTCAATACAGTAAGTCGAATGTAATTACTTTACAATAGCATACTTTACAATTAATTTTACAATGGCATATATTGATTTAAGCGTTTGAGTTTACTTTTTGTGACATTTAACACCTTATATTTTTGTGACATTTAACACCTATATTTTTAGGAACAATAATGTTGCAAATTGTCAAATCAATCCTAAAAATAATGGTAAACGGTATATTGGTGATTTTAATGAAAATGATATGTTAATACCAGAAAATAGTAAAAAGTTTTTAAAATTATCTATAAGTAAACTTGCTGCCAAACAAAAGAAAATTAAAATGCTTCAGCAATCCAAGCGTTGTCTAATTAAAAGGATTAAAGACTTATATTCATTCCTTCGTCATCTTAAATCAAAAAGTATGATTTCTGAAGAAATATCAACAACACTAATGGCATGATATAAATTTTTATTATGAGTAGTTGTTAAACGTATTTATATTTGTGACTTTTATTTTTTTATTTTTTTATTTAATAATTTTAAATATTTGTTACTTATTTAAGTTATACCTTTAGGATTATTTTGTTTCAGTCAACCTACTGTTGAAAAATGGTTTTAATTTAGTAATTTTTTATGATTAAAAATTTACTACATTAATCATTAGATAACAGTTAGGAAAAAATTTAATTCATTACAATTACGGTGGGAATAGCAATGAATTAATTATTGTATTTGTCACAGTAATAACTGTTGTTATGATTGTAATGCTACTGTAATAATTTGGTGTATGACTCTTCTTTTAATTTTAACTATTTTTACAAGTGTGTGTGTTTGGGTTATTGTGTATCATTTACATAAAATCTGTTTGGCTTTTTACTATGCTATCATCTTGATATCCGAATCAATAATTTTACTTGATTAGGTTATCAAGTATCAATATAATATTGTAACGAATAATATAATAATTTATTTAATCTATTTAATTACAGGGAACTATGTCTGAGTCTACAAAACAGTTGTTTTGTCGGATTTTTCAAGGAAAAGTTAAAAAGCATTACCCACCAGAGTTACGAAGCTTTGCTTTAACATTAAATTTCTATTCTGCTAAAGCATATAGTTATGTTAGAAAAACATTTAATATTGCACTTCCTCATCCACGAACTATACAAAAATGGTATGAAAGTGTTGACTGTTCCCCTGGATTTAGTAAAGAAGCTTTAGTTACTCTTCATAGCAAAGTAAAAGAGGCTCAGAAAATTGTTTAACGTGTTGTTTGTTCCTTGATGCTAGATGAGATGGCTATTAGAAAAAAAATTGAATGGACAGGTCATAAATTTTCTGGTTTTATTGATTTTGGTGCTGATGTTAATAATGATAGTTTACCCAAAGCAAAAGAAGCCTTAGTTTTTATGGTTAACTGTGTTAATGGACGTTGGAAGCTTCCTGTTGCATATTTTTTAATTGATGGTTTAGGTGGTTTTGAAAAAGCTAATATTGTTAAACATTGTTTACAGTTTATTTATGAAAGTGGTGCAGAAATTATATCGCTTACATTCGATGGAACGGCTTCAAATATTAGTATGGCAAATTTTTTAGAATCCAATATTTCTATTGAAAACATGAAGACTTGGTTTCCTCATCCTATATCAAATCGTCCAATACACATTTTACCTGATCCTCCTCACATGTTAAAGCTCATACGAAATGCACTAGCAAGTAGACCAGCAATTTATGATACTAATGGGAATCCTATAGAGTGGTCATACTTGCAGAAATTAGTAGATATACAGAATAGTGAAGGTCTGCATATTGCTACAAAAATTAGAAATCGACACATTGACTGGGTACGGGAAAAAATGAAAGTGAAAATTGCAGTTCAGACTTTAAGTTTAAGTGTGGCAAAAGCATTAAAGTATTTAAGACAAACAAACCACCCTTTAAATTTTAAGAATAGTAAACCAACTGAAACTTTTGTTACTAACATTAATGATGCATTTGATATTTTAAATAGTCGGAATTTACTTGCAAAAAATTTGAAGTGCGGCATACAAAATTGGAACAAAGAAAAAATATTTTTACACATTGATCAAATAATTGAATATCTGAAAAGCCTTAGAGAATTACCAGATGGACAATTTATGTGTACATCAGGAAGAAAAATTGGTTTTCTAGGTATGATAATTAGTCTGAATTCTTTGAAGTCAATTTATGATGAAAATGTTAATAGCAATCAACCGATATTAAAATGTTTTAGCATATAAATTGTCCCAAGACCATCTTAAAGTTTTTTTTAGTGCTATTCGTAGTTGTGGTGGTCATAATAACAACCCAACAGCTCGCCAATTTGAAAGTGCATATAAACGTCTTTTGATTCATTGTGAAGTGACTGGTTCTCAAAATGCAAATTGCTTAGATCAAACACCAATATCAATTTTAACTGTAAGTAGTAACCAAAAGTCTCAAATTATACCATCGGGAATACAATGTTTAAATGCTAATTTACAGGGTGATATTGATATTTTTGAAAGTCAGTCTCATTTAAATGACCATGCTTATTATAAGCTTCCAGAATTTGAAACGCTATCTTTTTATGTTGTTGATGTTGTAAGCTATATTGCTGAATTTGTAGTTTGGCAAGTTAAACAAGTTGTAAAATGTAATCCTTGCATTTGTGCCTTAACTCTGGATGAAAATACTTCTACACTTGTGACACTGAAACAGTATACCTTAAATTCAAAGACTGGCCTTATAAACGCATCAACTGATGTTATTTATTTATGCAAGTTGGCTGAAACAGAATTTAGAATATTAGAGCAAACAGGTAGTTTAAATAAAAGGAACGTAATGGAAATATTAGTGGTCAAATGTTTGCGTAATATGCACAAATCTGTTTTTAGTTGTTTGCATGATCATATGTTTGATGAAGATCCTCAAGGTAATCATATAATATCTTTAGTCAAAATTATTCTTGCTAAATATTTAAAGATACGATTGCACCACAAAGCTGAATCGATCAACGATTTGCGACATAATAAACGTATACGAAGTGTATTAACAAAGCAAATTTTATTTTCAAATCAATAAGAAGTTATTTTGTATATTAATGTATTAACTGTAACGTTTTCTATTATAAGAAATCTAAGAATGCATTAAAAGTTGATACAAATATAAGTTTAATATTATTAAAAAAAAAATATTACATTTAGAAACAAAATAAAGTTTTAAGAAAACGTTCAATGTAAAATTTTTTATAATAAGTTTAATATTATTTAAAAAAGTTTTTAAATAATATTAAACTTATTATAAAAAAATTACATTAAACGTTTTCTTAAAACTTTATTTTGTTTCTATCGCGTTTTTGTTTTGCCCAAACGTGACGTCACGCGCTAAAAGATGTTGGCTTCAAAATATTAAACTTACGGCGTGTCTATCAGTTTATAAGGTCGAAGTGTAGTATCATAATTTTATTTAAACATTTGTCATAAACATTTTTAAAAAGAAACCCTTCTAAATCGCTTGGAAAGTGATATGAGCAATCCGTAAGCGCCTCGCAGGAATAGTTTATATCGGGGTCTATATTTACATCATTTATTTCATTAAAGTTAAAACGCATGGATTCAAAGTCACTGATTCCAGCCATGCTTTTTTTTTTTTAATATAAATTTATTTGAGCATTTATTAGAAAGGCTTCTTTTTAGGACTTAAAGTTAGGGATGGGATTTTTAAATTCTCTACAAAAATTTTTATCATACTTGATAATGGCGTACTTTCCTTCACCGCGTAGACGTTTGACTTCTTCCCATAACTTTTTGCGACTCTCGATAGTTTCCTTTGCGAAATCTTCGTTGATGAATACACCAGTACCTTTCAAGTTTTTAACAGCTTTAAGAATCTTGTTCTTGTCTTGATAATTTAAAAGTTTCAGAACTATAGTTCTAGGTATTTTACTATCTTTTGTTTTGCCTACTCTATGTGCTCTTTCTACAACAACTTCGCTATTTATTTTTAGTTGGTTTTTGAAAATATCTTTAACTGTATCCTCGCATTCAGTCCAGGTTTCACCTGCTTTTTCTTTTACTCCATCTATTCGTAGATTGTTTCGTCGAGATCTGTTTTCGAGATCAATTGTTTTTTTGGTCAACATATTTAGTTCGTTGTCATAACACTTTCTAATTTGTTTTATTTTATCTATAAGGTTTGTTTCTTGGAAGTTTAATGTTGTTTTGACATCGTTCAGATCTTTTTCGATATTCATAATGTTGGATTTATTATTTGTTACATATATTTCAATTTTCTCTATTCTTTCCGTTAATATTTTCAAGTTTGCACTCATTATCGACGCGAAGCTTTTTTCTTGTTCTTTCAACAACTTTTCTGTTTCTTGTAATATACATATCATTTGTTCTTCCAACTTCTTGATAATTAATTTTTCTATATTTTTAAATGAGGTTTCCATGTTTAATTTAAAATTTAACACGCTGTAGAAAAAACGCGTCTGTTTGCTTCAACACGCTGCTTGAAAAAAAGTATATATATATATATATATATATATATATATATATATATATATATATATATATATATATATATATATATATATATATATATATATATATATATATATATATATACATATATATATATATATGTATATATATATACATATATATATATGTATATATATATATATATATATATATATATTTATATATATATATATATATATATATATATATATATATATATATATATATATATATATATATATATATATATATATATATATATATATATATATATATGTATATATATAGAGAAGTATGTTTTTTCCATAAGGGCCCATACATAAAGCGCCTATGCATGTATAAGGGAAGAGATCACAAACAGCGCAAAAGGAGGGGGTAAGGGTGTTCAAGACAGTGAGTACGTACTCACTGTCACGCGGTTGATTTTTGTGTGTAAAGACAAGTGACAGTGAGTACGTACTCACTCAAGACAGTGAGTACATACTCACTGTCACGCGGTTGATTTTTTTTCCAACATTAAATTTCACGTGTGTAACAAATCAGATTTGTTTTTTTACTTCAGTTACAATTCTTTTTTAATTTCTTTAAAAATAATGAGAAAAAGAAATTTAGGAAGAATTATGGAAGAAAGACAATGCGTACATAAGTGGAGGGTCTTCGAAAGCGTACAGGTTCCTATCACCGTGAGAAATAAACAAATGAGATACCACAATGCTAAATCCACTATCTATAGTTGCAATTTTTTTATATTTGTACAAATTAAACTTTAAAAATCAACTAATCATATTCGCAGCCGTGACTTAAAATAAATTAATCAAACTTTTCTAACGTGACTTTAAGAAAGCAATTACGCCAGAACCATTGTGCTAGAAACAACGTTAAATCTATCGACAGATTTTAAATTTCGTAGAAAAATATTATAAAATGCCAAAGTTATGATCTTGCAAAACTTACATCCTCATATTATTATTTTTTGGGAGGGGGGGGGGGGTTGATCTGATCTCAAAATATAACTGGATAGCGTATACGGCAAATTTTTTGAAGCCAGTTTTGGCCTCCCAAGATGGCGGCGTATTTGGTTGATTACAAATTTAGAAATATTTTTTACGAACTTTTTTTTTTTTTATTATATAAAAATAAATGTACAAGCCTCAAACAAAAATATAATTTTCGGTTTTACATAGCAATTGTTTTAAAAAGAAATACAATAATACATATTTACGTAAATTCCTAAAAATAAATATAATATTTTCTTTTACAAAACTCTCAATAATCTACTCAAACAATATTACTAATAAATATTATACTCTTACAATATCACAATATATATTACTAATACATATATCGCAATATATATTACTAATAAACATTATACTCAAACAATATATATTGCAATAAATATTATACTCTAAATAGTTTACTCAATAAGTTTGTGTAATATCTTTTTATTTCTTTTTTTTTTTAATTTAATTAAATAAGATAATATTTTTTAGTTAAATTAATTAAAAATTAGTTTGTTTACACACAACTCAGGGGTTCCTTCTAGAATTTTTTTTTATATATAACTATATGTACTTAATTTTTTATTTGGTTGTACTTCTATATATATATACATATATGATATTTATTGCAATATATATTGTTTGAACATAACATTTATTAGTAATAAATTATAATAATAGTATAATACTCACTGCCTTGAACACCCTTACCCCCTCCTTTTGCGCTGTTTGTGATCT